GACCTTGTTCAAATTATGCTTCTGTCATATACTAGCTTCTTGACATGTATAAGTTAAATAATATTCTGAGGCTCAATGTGTCTTTATCTTCAAATGGAGATCTGTCAGAGGGTTATGATAATTAAAATGAGATAATCAGATAAAATTCTAGAAATATACAAGGTACATAATAAGGGCTTACTAAACATTGATAAACATAATAAATATTCATTACAGTTACAAATATTAACTGTTATTACATTTATCCAACACCTTTCTGACATTTTATTCCATATAATTTATGAAGTTTAAAATAAATAATATATCTTTGTGAAAAACTTGTATTTGTCTCTTTACAAAAAAAGTTAAAAAGTACTTATAATTAAAATTTTTAATCTTTTGGAATGCTTCTATTTAGAAATCAGATAATTACATTGTAATAGTGAGAAACTCAATAGCGAAATGAACAATTCACTTATAAATAATTGTGTTTTTATTTTTCACAAATGCCAATTCTTGGTCATTATGAATGCATTCTCCCTTTCCTAATTACCTATTCAGTGAAAATGCATAAAACTCATTTATTTAGAGTGCAAGTAGTTGAGATAATCAAATAATCGAAAACATTTTACTCTTTATATTTGCGAAGAAAATCCCAATCAAAATTAATTCCAAATAGGCAAGCTGATTTGGAGAACTTTAAAATAAAGAAAAATTTTTTTTTAGATTATGCTTTCAACAGTGTTTCTTACAGATTCTATAAACAGGTGTTCATGTCAGTACATGGTGTTCAAAAATATGATGTTGAACCCACTAAAATCTTTAAGTTATTCTGAATAATGTAAGCAATTCATTATTTTTTTTGTCAAACTCATATTTCAAAAAAACACATACACTGTATGTGCAGAGACTTTAAACTATGCTTTGCAGGGTAAAATAGGTGAAGAGGACTAAGAGGTACAAGCTTCTAGTAATAAAATAAGGAAGTCATGGGGATGTAATATATAGGATAGGGAATATAGTCAATAATATTTCAATAACTTTGTATGGTAACAGATAGTAACTAGATTTATCACGGGGATCATTTTTTAATGTGTAAAAAATACTGAATCACTATGTTGTACACCTGAAATTAATGGGATATTATGTGTCAATTATGCCGCAATAGAAAAAAAGTACTATGGGTGGTGCCTGCATGGCTCAGTCAGTTGAATGTCTGACTCTTGATCGCAGCTCAGGTCTTAATCTCAGGGTCATGAGTTCAAGCCCTGCATTAGGCCCACTTTAGGAAAAATACTATGCTTTGCATAGACTAAAAAGCTGTATTATACAGTAAGACTGTATTCTAGCTGGCCTTATCTGAAACAGAAGTTTTATACACATATATGCATGTGTATATATATATATATATATATATATATATATATATATGTATATGTGTATATGTATGTATATATGTATATATGTATATATGTATATGTGTATATATATATACATATGTATATATATATATATATATCTTGAGCTATAGTGATGATTGAATATGAATTCTGAGAACTTGAAGACTGGTATATAGGGGTGACATATTTTAGAAATAGCTAAGGAAAGATATTTAGCTTTTCAAATTTAGTCTTTGAAAGATAAGATGTACCATGTATGTTCATGGAAATATTTTGTCTTCTTAAAATACCTTTAAGTGGACATGGATTCATTGAAAATGATATGGACAGATTGAATCATTTTGTTGAAAATAGAAAGCAGAGGAATTAATATAAAGGATAAAGGAGTTTTAAAAATAATTTGCTTATGGGGTGCCTGGGTGGCCTAGTCAGTTAAAAGTCAACTCTTGATTTCAGCTCAAGTCATGATCTCATGGTTCCTGGGATTGAGCCTTCCTTGCCTTGGTTCGAGAGATGGAGCCCTGTGTCTGGCTACATGCTGACAGCACAGAGCCTGCTTCGGATTCTCTCTCTCCCTTTCTCTCTGCCCCTTGCTCTCTCTCTTTATCTCACAAAATAAATAGATAAACTTAAAAAATAATAGTAATAATTTGCTTGCAATATGTGTAAGTCAAATCATTTTGCTATATGCTCAAACTTATACAATACTATATACCAATCATATTTCAACAAAACTGAAAGAAAAAATTTGCTGAAATGCCAACTGCTTCTTTTCATAAAGTGAAAAAGGAATTTGAAAGAAATATAAGCTAAAAGAAGACATCATCTTTCCCAGTTAAAACTAGGTTATTAAGGTAATAAATCTTATTGGTACTATAAAAAGCAATATTAATAACCAATATTAGAGTTTTATAGTTTATTAAATTATTTCTTATCAATTATCTTATTTGTTTCTCACAGCAATATCTGAGGCAGGCATTATCATAATTCCCATATTCCAGATGAAAAATTTGAGACTCAGAAAGGATACTCCCCATTTTCATCATTTAACTTTTCTGATGAATCACAAGAAAGATAATTTTCCCTTTCTCTAGGCAGTTAAGAGTTGTTTTCTGGGTTAGTGATTTTTTTAAAAGTCCCATGCTGGGGAAATAATGGTCATGTATAGGTGGCAAGGAGATACTATTTCCTACACATTGACACAGCAAACTATGATGGCCAATGCTGCCTTGTGAGGACTCAAACCAACCTTACAAAACTCTCCACTATTCTATAATCTGGAAATAGATATTAAGTCGATCCTGGCTCCCTCAGGAATTTAGCTTGGCATTTAGGGAGTGGGAATGTGTGTACTCTGGCATTAGGGGTCACTCTGATGCTCAGTCCCTCTGATGTTTACTAGAACATTAGTTAGGAGGGAATACAGGACAAGGAAACAGGCCAGAGGTCCCAAAATGTAAGATAAAACACAATAAGGTGTCCTAAATAGGATTTCAATTCATTCAATCTACTATTTCAAATAACCACCATAGAATGCTTTCTAAAATTTTTCTTTTGCTAATGTGAGATTACCTTGTATTTGGAGGGCATATGTTTCAGTCGCCACACAACTCTCAATTTGTTCTGCAAGCCAAATAGTTCTGTTTTTAGAAACATGTAAACTACTGTAGTTATCTCACAAAATCAAATTAAGATATATCACTGGGTGGAGCAGGGAAGATATGTGACTTGAGACTATGAGATGGAGTAATTCCAGTTTATGAATCTGGAGAGCTTATAATGAAGATTTGGAAAGATAAGTATTAGCAAGGATAATGAGAGACATTACATAATCAGAAATGGATTACTCTGGGCACCTGGGTGGCTTAGTCGGTTGAGCATCCGAATCTTGATTTCAGCTCAGGTCATGTTCTTGGAATTGGTTCATGGGATTGAGAGCCCTATTGGGCTCTGTGCTGACAGCACATAGCCTACTTGGGATTCTTTCTCTCCTTCTGTCTCTGCCCCTCCCCTGCTCATGCTCTCTCTTTCTCTCTCAAAGTAAATAAATAAACATTAAAAAAAAAAAAAAGAAATAGGTAACTCATCAAAAAGATGTAACAATCCTAAATGTGTATGCACCTAACAAGAGGGCATCAAAATATATGAAGCAAAAACTAATAGAACTAAACGGAAAATTCCACATTTATATAAGGAGGTATCAATACTTCTTTCTTAGAAATCAATAGAACAATTTAATAAAAAACCAATAGAATATAAAAGAACAATACCATCAATCAACTTGATCCTATTTACATTTATAGAATATTCTACCATCAGCATAATAATTTTTTCAAATGTATATGGAACATTTACCAAAATAGACCATAGTCTGGACCATAAAGCAAATCTTAACAAATTTAAAGAATTCAAACCATACAAGAATAGGCAAATTCATAGAGACAGAAAGTAGGCTAGAGTTGCAAGAGACTGGGGGGAAGGAAGTTTTTGTTTAATAGGTTAAGAGTTTCTATTTGAAATAATTTTTAAAATTCTAGAAATAGACAGTGGTGATAGTTACATAGCATTGCAAATGTGTGTAAAGTCATTGAATTGTACACTTAAAAATTATTAAAATGGTAAAATTTTTTATGTATCTTTTACCACAGTAGATAAAATCAGTTGGAGAAAAATTCACATACACAGTATGTTAGCTGACCAGAACAAAATAAGCAAGAAAACAATAGAAAGATATGAGTAAAATCCTCAAATATTTGGAAGTTAAACAACACATTTCTAAAATAAACCAAGTACCAGGGTGCCTGAGTGGCTCAGTCAGTTAAGCATCTGGCTCTTGATCTTGGCTCAGGTCATGATCTCACAGTTTGTGAGTTGGAGCCCCACATCAGGCTCTGCACTGACAGTATGGAGCTTCCTTGGGATTCTCTCTCTCTCTCAAAAATAAATATTTATTTTTTTTTTGAAAAATGTTTATTTATTTTGAGAGAGAGAGAGAGAGAGGCAGAGGGAGAGAGAGAGAGAGAGAGAGAAGATCCCAAGCAGACACCATGCTCAGAGTGGAACTCCACGTAGACTTTATCTCACTCTGTCTCTCTCTCTCTTAAAAATAAATAATAAACATTAAAAAATTCTTTTAAATCCTCAAAGATATATAAATTCCACACAAACTCTACCAGAAAATGGTAGAGAAAGGAACCCTTCCCAACTTATTGTATAAATCTAGCATTACCATAATAAAACAAGCAAAAAATATAAACAAAAGAGAAAAGGAAATAAACATAATATAAACATAGACACACACACACACAAAAACACCTTTAAAATATTTGTAAATTGAATCCAGCAATATGTAGAAAGGATAATACTTCATGATAAGTTTGGGATTTACCCAAGGAATGGAAAGTTGGTTTAATATTTTACATTCTATGTAATTTACCCATATAAATACAATACAAAAGAAAAACTACACAATCATCTCAAGAGATGCAGAAAAAACATCTATTCTTGAATTTTTAGAAAGCTTATCAAATAAAAAAAAAAAAAAAGAAACTTCCCATCTTAGTAGAGGATACCTGTAACTCACAAAATGATGAACAACTGAATTCTTTTCTTTATGATGAGGTACAAGGGAAGGATGTCCACCCTCATTGCCTTTATCTAACATCGTACCAGAGGGCCAACCCACTGCAATAAGACAAGAAAAAGAAATAATATAAATACATATTGAAAGGTAAGAAAGAAATCTCTCTCTATTGACCGACAGCAAATAGAGAATGCCAAAGAATGTATAAAACAGTTATTGGATCTAATGAGTGAATTTAGGAAAGTCATAAGATTATACTTTACATATAATATGAAAACATTAATTCTACTTCTGTAAAGTAGCAAAAACTATTAGAAATTGAAATTTGAAAACTATATGATAGTATAAAAATATGAAATATTTAGGTATAATCTAACAACATATATGCTAAAAATTATAAATTATTGATGTAAGAAGTAAAAGGGGACCCAAATAAATAGAAAGTACACTGTATTCATGGATTGGAAGGCTTTTTAGAATATCAATTCTCCCCAAATTAATCTATAGTTTTAATGTAATCTCTATCAAAATCTCAGCAGAGTATTTTGCAGAGATTAGCAAGTTGATTCTAAAACTTCAGAAACAAAAGACCTACAATAGCTGAAACAATTTTGAAATGGGAAAACACACTATTTGATTCAAACTTACTATAAACCTACGGTTGTCTAAACAGTGTAATACTAGTAAAGGAAAAACATGTACATCCATTGAACAAAACAGAGTTTAGTTTCATACAAATTGGTCAATTGATTTTTGACAAGGTTGCCAAAGAATTCAGTGGTGAATAGTTTTTCAGCAACTGGTGATCAAATAATTTGACACCCACATGCAAAACTAAAAGAAAATTATCTTTCTGTTGTTGATTTATAATACAATTTTATTATGGTTAATTAACATACTTTGTATTATTTTATTTAAATTTGTCACGATTAGTTTTTGCTTCATGTATTTTATGTAAAGTCTCCTTATGCGGTGTGTACCGTACCTGCTTAGGATTGTTATGTCTTCTTGGTAAGTGACCATCTTCTTAATCTCTAATGGCCTTTTTTATCCTAATAATATTCCTTGTTTTGAAGCTTACATTGTCTGATATTAAAATAGTCACTCTGGCTTCCTTTTGCTTATTGTTTGCATAATACATCCTTTTCTATCCTTTTACTTTTAACCCATCTAAGTTTTTTTTTTTTAATGTTTATTATTTTTGAGAGAGAGAGAGAGAGACAGAGAGAGAGCAAGCAGGGAAGGGGCAGAGAGAGGGAGACACAGAATCAGAAGCAGGCTCCAGGCTCTGAGCTGTCAGCACAGAGCCCGACGTGGGGCTCAAACCCACAGACTGCAAGATCATGACCTGAGCTGTTGTCAGCAACCCAACCGACTGAGCCATCAAGGCACCCCAGACCTATTTAAGTTTTTATATTTAAACCGGGTTTCTTGAGATGAACATGTAGTTGTTTTTTTTAATCCACTAGGACTACTTTGATCTTTTAATTGGTGTGTTTACTATTTACATTCAATATAATTATTGGTGTGGTTGATTTTAGGTTTACTATTTTGCTATGTATATTTTGTTTCCCTTTCCCCTCTTTTCTGCTTTCTTTTGGATAGTTTAAATAGTTTGAGTATTACACTCTATGTATTATATTTTGTTATTCTCTCTGTCTCCATTTCTATCTCTCTCTTTTTCTGTTTTTTTCTAGGGAAGAGTTTCTCAACAATAATACTATTGATATTTTGGACCAGATAATTCTTTGTTCTGTACAGCTGTTCTGTGCACTGTAGGACGTTTAGCAACATTTCTGGCCTCTACCCACCAGATGCCAGTTACACATTTCCCCCAGTGATGGCTGTCTCCAAACTGCCAATTGTCCCCTGATGGGCAAAACTATTGCAAGTTGAGAACCACTGCTCTCGATAGTAGAGTAGAAATATTTAACATTTCAGAGTCTTCTTAAGTAATATTTTAATTTTAAGTAATATGAGAAATTTACAACCACATAAATCCCTTAATCTCTCCCCTTTATTGCATAGTTGTCACTGTTCTAAATTAACATGCATTTAGAACCCCATCAGACATGAAAACTTTTCTTTCAATAATTACACATATTTTAAGGAACTTTTTAAAAAATGGTCTTCTATGTTTACCCAGATATTACTGTTTTTATTCTTCTTTCATTCCTAAAGTTCCAGGTTTCACCTGGTATTCTTTTCCTTCAGTCTGAAGAACTTTCTTTAACATTTCTTTTAGTTGGTCATGTGTTCTCTAACTTAGTTTATCTTCTTCTGAGAATATCATTATGTCTCCTTCATTTCTGAAGGATATTTTGCTGAATGTAGAATGCTGGGTTAACGATTTTTTCCTATCATTTTAAAAATGTCATTCTATTGTCTTTTGGCCTCCATGGTTTCTGACGAGAAGTCTACCATCATTGTTAACATCATTGTTCTCCTATATGTGATATGTCATTTTTCCTTAGCTGCTTTTTTTTTTTAATTTTTTTTCAACGTTTATTTATTTTTGGGACAGAGAGAGAGACAGAGCATGAACGGGGGAGGGGCAGAGAGAGAGGGAGACACAGAATCGGAAACAGGCTCCAGGCTCCGAGCCATCAGCCCAGAGCCTGACGCGGGTCTCGAACTCACGGACCGCGGGATCGTGACCTGGCTGAAGTCGGACGCTTAACCGACTGCGCCACCCAGGCGCCCCTCCTTATCTGCTTTTAAGATTTTTTCTGTATATATTTAGCTTTCAGAAGTTTGATTATAATGTGTCTGGTTGTGGTTTTCCTTGAGCTTATTCTGTTTTTGTTAACTAAACTTCTTGAATATGCAAGTTAATGTCTCTCACCAAATTTGGGAACTTTTCAGCCTTTGGTTCCTCACTTTTTTTTCTGCACCAATTTCTTTATAGGACTCCATTGTTACAAATGTGAGACTTTTTTTTAAATATGAGATTTATTGTCAAATTGGTTTCCATACAACACCCTGTGCTCATCCTAACAGATGCCCTCCTCAATGCCCATCACCCACCCCCCCCTCCATCCCACCTCCCCTACCTCCCACCCCCCATCAACCCTCAGTTTATTCTCAGTTTTTAAGAGTCTCTTATGGTTTGGCTGTCTCCCTCTCTAACTTTTTTTTTCTCCTTCCCCTCCCCCATGGTCTTCTGAGATGGCCAACAGGCACATGAAAAGATGCTCAATGTCTCTCCTCATCAGGGAAATACAAATCAAAACCACACTGAGATATCACCTCACACCAGTCAGAGTGGCTAAAATGAACAAATCAGGAGACTACAGATGCTGGAGAGGTTGTGGAAAAATAGGTACCCTCTTGTACTGTTGGTGGGAATACAAACTGGTGCAGCCACTCTGGAAAACAGTGTGGAGGTTCCTCAAAAAATTAAAAATAGATCTACCCTATGACCCAGCAATAACACTGCTAGGAATTTACCCAAGGGATACAGGAGTGCTGATGCATAAGGGCACTTATACCCCCATGTTTATAGCAGCACTTTCAACAATAGCCAAATTATGGAAAGAGCCTACATGTCCATAAACTGATGAATGGATAAAGAAATTGTGGTTTATATACACAATAGAATACTACTTAGCAATGAGAAAGAATGATATATGGCCTTTTGTAGCAAGGTGGATGGAATGGGAGAGCGTTATGCTAAGTGAAATAAGTCATACAGAGAAAGACAGATACAAACGTGAGACTTTTGATATAGTCCCATGACTCCCTGAAATTCAATTCCATTTTTTTCTCTTTGTTCTTCAGAATCTATCTTTAAGTCCACTCTTTTCTCTGTCATCTTCCTTCTGCTTTTGAACTCAACCAGTAAAATTTAAATTTCAAAGATTGTATGTTTTTTTTTTTCAACTTTTTTTTTTTTTTTTATATTTTTGGGACAGAGAGAAACAGAGCATGAACGGGGGAGGGGCAGAGAGAGAGGGAGATACAGCATCGGAAACAGGCTCCAAGCTCCGAGCCATCAGCCCAGAGCCTGACGCGGGGCTCGAACTCACGGACCGCGGGATCGTGACCTGGCTGAAGTCGGACGCTCAACCGACTGCGCCACCCAGGCGCCCCTCAAAGATTGTATGTTTTAAAACTGTTTTGTTTTGTTTTTTTGTAATTTAATTTTTTTGCTGAGAACTTTACCTTTCAAAAATTTTATTTAATGTGTGTTTACCTTTACTTCACGGAGCTTATTTTAGTATCTCTTGTTTTAAAGTCTTTGTCTTATAATTTCAGCACCTGTGTCATCTTAGGGTTTGCACCTGTTCATTGTCTTTCCCTGAAGAATTGGTCACATTTCTTAGTTCTTTGCTTATCAGGTAATTTTGGAATGTATTCTGAACTTTTTAAATATTAAATTGTGTAGATATGAATACTGTTAAAATACTCTAAGGGATATCATCATCATTCATCATCATCATCATATTATTATCATCAAAGTTTTAGCAAGTGGTCAATCCAGTTAGCTTCAGACTATAAGTTTTTAAAATCACTTTCTAGACAGCAGGCAAACGACTAGGGTGTGCAACGTCTTGCTCAGAACTCTCCATCAAGAATGCAGATCCTTCATGCCCCCAGGAACTCCAGACTTCCCCATGCTGGAGTCTGAGCGTCTCTCAGCCCATGGCTGCTGGGCTGCCTGCACCAACTTCTTGTGCACTAGAAAGGGAATTCTACTGTTTGCTGAGATTATATTGCACCAGGTGATTCTAATCTGGCTCAGCATCTCAACGCCAGGATACTCTTCTCTGTTGGTGGTTGAGATGGTCTGTGCTGAGATATTCTTTGTCATTTACATATGCGATCTACACACCAAGATACAGTTCATTCACTGGCCTTGGACTAATTTCTCCCGAGCCCTCATTGCAGCCATTCTCTACCTGATCACCTCCATTGTTGTCCTTGTCGAAAGAGGAGATCGGTCTATAAATCATTGCAGGGTCACTGGGCCTCATCCCTACGTGCCTTGAGGTAATAAAGACATAGAGCAGCCCGAAATGACTGTGCAGATGTTCAGTGTCGGTGGACTCCCTTTATTTCTCTTTGATCTCTGGTTGGTGGTTTAATTCTTAGTTCAATTCTCAAAGCTTTTGCTATGCAGCCTTGGGTCTGTCCTATGCATATGC